GAATACTTTTTCTTATAAATGCTTGTTTATTTTTATGAGTATACTGCTGAGCTTTGGGATTGGTATATGAAAAGTAGATATTACTTTTCATATACTTCTTCTCTTCTCTTCTTTCTAAATGGTGAGAAGTAGTTTCGTCGTTATGAGTGATCAGATGAACATAACGTACACACTGATCAAAGGTATGAACATTTTGCTTCCCAAATTCATTAAAATAAGAATAATTAACTTAATGTCTCTTAGGTTATTTATTCTTATTTTAATGAATTTGATGAATTGTTATTCTTATTTTAATGAAAAGTGATTATTTGAAGTTATATTCTACCAATAGAAATGGTTAAATTGAAACTTTTTACACCATAAATAAGCTTAAAAAGATGTATAAATTTTATACAATAATAATGGCAATATAATTCGAGTGGTGATAAAAAAAATGTTATTTATAATAGATAATATAGTTAATGTCTTTTAATTAAATAATAGCGCTACCTATACAGTATATACCAATAAAACAATTCTTCATTTCTTATTATTACTATATTATACTATATATTTTTACAGATATTTCATCTCCAATCATTTTCCTGCGTGTCGGTCAAGGCTGGCTACCCGGTTTCACTTTCTGAGATCAAAACATTTTCACCGACGCTACTCTGGCGCTCTCACGGCCATTCGCAGCACGGAGAAATGCTGTGCCCGCGCATGATGTTTTAATGCAAACAATACACCGCCATGCAGGGCTACCAATACAATAACCAGTCAAAGTTTATATCTTTTTTATATAGAAACAGAAAATCTCCTAATATCAGTTAATAGGTGAATGTACGCCATGCAATAGGGCTGCCGATACTAGTGAAAGATTTTTTCTTTTTTATAATGAAAACAAAAAAATCTCCTAATTTCAATTAACAGATGAATTCATGAGGTCTTGAAGTAAGGCATGACTATATATATTAATGCCTTAATAAGTTCGGCTTATACACAATTTTATTTGATCAAAAGCAAATACTAACTAACACATTCAGATAAATGTGATTACCGAAAAAAATCATAAGAACTGAAATAAATAAACTGTAATGATTATAAACTAATAAATTCATTTGAAAATATACAACACCCCCTATTACACTGTATTTTTCACGATTTTTTTTTATTATACGTCAAGCAATTTATATCTAAATAAATTATAGTTTACTTTTTTAATTATTGATTTTTTTTTTAAATAAGTGGCACAGATAGATTTATTATTATATTGTCTAAAAGACTGTAAATACATTGCATACCTTACAGAGGTATCTAATGTAATCGATATACTTACTTAAAGAAGTAAGTCAAAATGTATGTCACTGTATAGAATTAAAAAAAATTCAAACTAATAATTAGTTTCATTTGTATAAAAAAAAAGGTTTTAGTTAAAATTTTACAACTCTAAACAATTTTGTTGTAGATGCCAACGAATGCGCCATCTAGTTTATTAAACTTAAACGAACAGAACAGAGTAGAAACATCGCCATCTCTGATAAAAGTAGAGTAACTGTATTAAGTAGAAACAACTGCCATCTATGTCTTAAACTTCTTTCGTTGAACAATACAAATATAAGGCACATTACATTAGATGGCGTATGCGGAACTGTATTTGTAAATAGAAACGACTCTAATATGTAACATGAAACTTCTTGTAATTGTCTATGATCAATAACAGTAATTTCTTTTTTTTATGTGAATAGAAATTATATTACTATTCTTCATATAAAATAAATCATATAAAATTACTTTTGTTCGTAAAAAAAAAAAGAAATTTTTTACTGTTATTGATATATACATCAATTAATTAGTTTATGTAGAAACTCCACATGAAATCTCAGTATTGATGTGGGAGTGTCTTTTTAATAATAGGGAATAATAATTTATTGATGATGATGATAATGAACCCCATTGCTTTATAAGTGGTGAATTCACCATGATGAGATAATCAACCTGACTTCATGCTCATTTCATCACTTTCCACTGATGGTCCACCAGCTTATACCGTTAGTACAGACGGGAAACCATACCATTAAAATTCATTTAAAATATATATTTTCCTAATACTTTCTAATATAAAATTCTAAAAACATGTATAATCATTTCTTCAGCTTCGAAAAACGACCAAAAGGTAGCACCTTGTAATGAAAGATTATTTAAGCAATAAAATGGCCTTTTGTAACTTCTGTAAATTATGATATTATATAAACTAGCAGGGTCCTACTGGATTTGGTTGGGCAGGGAGAGAACGTTGGGCACGAGCCCTGAAGGTGAGCGTGGACGAACATCGGTAAGGGTCTCTTAAATCTATACCCTTATTAATGCCCCCGTAACTGCTTGGAGTTTCCCTCTCTGCTACACGATGAACGACTTCGACACGATATCCGACTCTATTTCTGTTGCAATAAAGAATAAAGAAATAGTGATATTATCGCTTATCATCAGATATGCCATCAGCTACTTAGCCATTACAATAGTATAAAAAATACTTACGTTTACTCTTTGTATCAGAGAAAGCTTTGGCAATGCCAATCAATTTTCTGGGTGGTTAGATGTCCACTTACTTTCAACTGCGATATATCAATTGAATTGTGAACAACAATGCAATAATAAAAGTGCATAATGACTTGATGAACTTTCATTTTTTTTTATAGATGATAATGAAATGGTGCACCCGCCTGCGCTAACGGTTTACGCTGGCGGGACACCAGTGGAGGATGATAAGATGAGCATGAGGTCAGGTCAGTTAGCCCATCGTGACAAATTCACCAGGAATTTATCACGATGGTTTCCAGGGGGGACCGCGTGGAGGGCAACCTGACATGGTACATTGCTAGCAATAAGATCATCAGTCCACATTACTAACAATCCCCTTTCCTGAACTTTCATATTGTAACCACATGTAATTCAGTATCTTCACCCCTGAACCACAACAAGGTAGTTAGAAAGATATCAGATATGGCTTACAATTTTGGGGAAGTGAATCAAAGTCAAATATTAACATCATCGAAAGGGTCCAAAATATTATACTGAGTGACAGTATCACCCGATATGGTGTCCCTTGGCTCATCACCAATGACAAAACTCATATTTGATTTGGCATACTTACAGTAAAAGAGGAGATACTCAACTGCAAAAAAAAACCAAACAAATGGGCTGGCTGCTCAACTATTGTATCTACATATATACTAACTAAAACAACAACACTACCCTAAGTGACTTAAAAGAATCGATATTATGTATATTTCGCAGTAACCTTATAAGCATCCTGCCACTGGGGTGGACAGTCCGTTATTAGTTCACAAACTCAAAAGATCTGGTTTTAATTCCAGGACTGATTGCAGATAGAAGAATAGACAAAAATATGTGTGTAGTTTCATAATGTTTCAATACGATTATACTGTTAAAAATCTGTTTTTACTTGTAAGGCGCCATCGTAACGATTACACCATATGAATGGTGATGAGTCATGGTCTTTAAATATGCCATTCATTCTTATCACAGCAGGATTTATATAAGAATATGTAAATATAAATAAGTTAACAAATAATGAATTTGAATGGGTATATTTTGAAGAGGATAAACAGAAAAATCCCGTATCCTTTGATATGTATAAATAGAAAAGAATCAAAATGTTGCTATTAATTGAGATAAACCGAAAAATATAGTCAGCATAAGAGTAACTTAATAATAATGATCATTAATATAATTTAAATATCTATCTTGGCAACAACCCTCAAATTGTTTAAGGTACTCCAACTCTAAAAGCTGATGGATGATGCGCCATCTGCTGGTAAGCTCTAACAGTCGCCTATATACCGAACAGCACTGCGGACATTACGTCATCATGTAATGCCTGTGATACCAAGTATTTTTTTCGAACATTCGAAGGCGACGAGCGCAGATTGCACTTCAAACCGACGCCGAAGGACTTTGGAGCGACTAAAAGTCAACTCTTGCCTGACGGATACCCACGCGTTGCCTTACATCTTGCTTCATAATCTTTAATTTCAGTGTTTATATTTGTTTTTTATTGAGTCACGATTTTATTATATAAAGCGTAAGTGTATTGCACAAATAGCTCAATTAACTTGGGCAGCGCCGTAAGTTATATATAGTAGATATAAAATAATAAAAAATCGCTCCAAATTAAGGTAACGAAGTAGGAAACTGTGTCAGTTGTATAGTAGTGACATCTCCGATTATGTCACAGTATTATCCAAAGTGTTTGTCCCAAATGTGTGTATTACGGAACAGAATCGAGATGTTCTGGTAAACAATGTTCCGCTACGTTTGCCGTTGTCACCACCATGCAATTGTGACCGTCGCCGTTTTCGTTTTCATGAAAAAAAAATTATGGTTAAATAAAATATGTATTTGATTTAACCATAATAAAATCATTACAAATAAAAATAAATCTAAAAGTACACCAACATAATGTTTAGGGTTACCCAGACAATAATTAATGCTTTTTTAATTTATGCGGTAAACTGCCAAAGACTTGGATTTTTTATACATAAGTAAGTTCCTTTTGACAACAAAGATTTTTTGGGAAACTTTCTAAGGGATAGAGAATGAAGCAAGATATGAAAGTTTGTATTAAATTTACGTATAAATTATTGCTTCGAAATTTATTAAATTCGAAAGTAAAATTTTATGAACCACTTATTTATTTCAGGGTACTTTAAATATATATTCTAAAATGTCTATTATTGAGACATGAAATTTGATTAAAGATCAAAATAATCTTCAAATATCTGTTCACTAAAACTGATACTTAATATTACGATTGTTATTAAGACAAGTAAAACATACTATCGATTTAATATTTAAAATAGTCTAGTAAATCTACTTTAACTACATTGTTATTTGAGATATGAACGTCACTAAAAGCAACAACAATAGCGCCATTAGTGATGTCACAGTGCGTGCAATAAACAAAAGAAGCCGGGAAGAGATAAAAATGCGGACGAGCATTGACTGCAAGACCATATCGCAACGACACTACCTGCTTCCTCACATTCGTGGCCAGGACACCGCACAGAATGGTCGGAATCTACGTGCTCCTATCATGTCTTCTGGTGGTCTCAACGGAACATACCGGCGCGTACTCCTCCCCGCAGTACGCGAAGAAGATGTATCCAAAACAACCTTACGACACCAACGCGCTACTACCAAACGAAACTCCACCGGTTGCATTCAAAAGTGACCAGGATTTGGCGAGATATGAGAACGGGAATGGTACATACGCGAGGTCGTCGTTCATGGAGTCAGCGGGTAACTTCTTGAGCGGCGCTGGTGGTCAAATGATGGCTGGTCTGGCGAAGGATTTTATCGCGAGGTCCACAGGAAGCAGTCAGGTTGGTTTTGACTGCGTGTCGCAGGTTCGTATCGCACATTATTGTAAAGCTGCACGCTATTGCATGTGATCGCCATTTCTACGAAGGAATGTTAAAGATAAGGGTCGGGATTGAGTCATTGTGTTTTGAAAATCTGACGCATTGTTTAAATATGTTTTAATTTAACTTGTATTGAAGTGGGAATTTTGTTATTCTTATGGTGAGAGTGAGAGTTAATAAGTGCATTGTATCTAATGGTATTTATAATATTACTACTATTACTTTCATTCATAGACGGCCTCGGTGGTCTAGCGGTTTAGGACACCCCTTTATTTCTGATGATCGCAGGTTTGAATACTCGCACGTTGCAAAAAAAATATCTAAGTATTTATTTCAGTTGTCTAGTAGCCATAACACAAGCTCAGATTACCGTGGCCCTAGATAGCACAGTGGTAATTGTTCAGGGTTATTTATTTATTATTATTCATACTAATAATATAAATTCAAATATATGTCTGTCTATTACTTTTTCCCATCTATACGCACAATTAGGAAAAATCACGGAATTTTACCATGTTTTATTTATTTTTATTGAGTTCTCGATATTTCGGCAGTGTTTCAACCGCCATGATCACGGGTAAACTGTGATAAGATCCCATATTTTTTCCTAATTTAAAATAGTATATTTTCGCATGTAAATGGTTAATGTTTGATATGAAGATACATTGTATCGCAACATCGTAGATACGTACCATCTTTTATCTCGAAAAGCATCATGTGCTGTGCATGTATATAACAGGTAACCATTACAACTTGCTTATGTTGTTTTTTTTTATTTGTAGTTTTATATTTTTTGTTAATGTATTGAGTTAATTGAATTTTTTATTAAGATATTGAGTTAGTTGAGGCAATTGAAATACCCGTACAAATCCGGAGTGAATCGCTAGTAAAATATAAAGTATCTATTTCCAACAAAGAAATGTTAATAAATTGTATTTTTTATAATATATTTATATTTATACTACGATTAATGATATGTTATTAAGTCAGGTAATATCCGATATAGAAAAACACATGTAATAATAGTAATATCTCGGACTAATTCACGCAGCTCCATCTAGTCCCAGATGGCGCTGTGAGAGCTAAGCAGAGCTTGTGTTATGGGTACTAGACAACTGATATATTTTTTTTGTAAATACCAACATAATATACATATAAAACACCTAGATCGATACAAACAATCATAATTATACAAGGAATCGAACCCGTGACCATGGTGTGCCAAACCACTAAACCACCGAGGTCGCCATAATTGTTATGTTGTGATATATTGTTAAATCGCATAATATCCACTAAACAAACACAAATAACATCACGCTAAGACTGATAGGAGCGGAGCTGCAACCAAAAAATGGTAGTATTGTTCACTAGTATTATATATGTCTAACACAAGCATTTCTATACTAGTCATCCGAACAGTATGTTATTGAAACCGATTTTTTTTAAAGAAATAATCATTTTTTCCTTTTTTTTATTTTCATATAACAATATGTTACAGGTGTTAAGTTTAAACTTAACCAACTTAGTGATCCTGATAGTGCTTAAAGCTCTTATTCTGGCGGCTGGTTTCTTCGGTGCAGGTGCGTGGAAGGGTGGTCACCACTATGGAAGGAGTCTCGATGGTAAGTTATAAATTGCAATATATGTATATCTTATATATTATAATATTCTCGTGTCACAATGTTAGTTACCATACGGTCCTCCGACGGCTTGACCGATTTTTACAAAATTTTATATGCAATTCAGTAGGTCCGAGATTCGGCTAGTATCTATTTTTCATACCCTTAATAGTATGTAACTAGTGATAAGTGTTGTCCACCACTAGTTTATTTAATGGACAATTTTTTTTTGCAGTGTGGCATTAAAAATGCATACAACCCTAAATTTTCAACCTTCTACCATCAATCCCTTTTTTTAATAGTTTCGATTTTAATTATTTGAAATAATATCTGTCTATCTGTCTTTTTACGAACGGATTAATATTTTTTTATGAATATTGAATATATATTATAGATATTCTATATCTGAACCTCGTAATACATACAACGAGGTTCAGATATAGACTGCGTATTATCTCAAAATATATAGAAGAAGTCCCGGCTAATAACTGTGTGTTATATGTTATTTTTTTAAATATTATTAATCCTTACTTAATAGTATATTACAATAATAGATGAAATGAAATGAAAACTAGATGCTAGACTAGCTGTTTCTATCCAGTTTTCAAAAAATGTTTTCTTTTTTTAAACACACTAAGCCAGTGCTCAGAGCCGTAATAATTTTAATGCTACATTTGAAACTGTACAGTCAATGCATTATTAACTCCACCATCTCACCTGTTACATTTATCATGCCGACTGTACGTATCCAAGTTTCAAATAGAATCAACTGGCCATTTGGCGGGTGGCTTCATAAAAGATAATCCCCGCAGAATGGGATTACGAACGGACAGGACAAACCCATCGGCGTATATTGGATTAATGGATGGTCAGTCGGCACGTGGACGAATCGCCACCTTTATGTAATATTAGAGGTAAAGGGTGCAGAACATAAGTTTAGCAGATGGCATATCTACACTATCTATAGGGCCAGTAGTCGAAATTCAACCATAATTATTTTACATTCAGTAAGACTATAGACGCACGTCAAGAATCTGCAGATTCTACCAAATTGAAGAGGAAACGCACACCTCCTATGTGGTTGTGACCCACTCATGCATAAACGAAATATCTCCTCTGGAAAGTTTACACTCTTTCCCGAGGAGATAAAAACCATCGCTCCTAAGAATATCGAAAAAATTTTCAAAAATATTGACAATTTCTTTTGTGGACGTTAAGTTTTTATCATTATCCTTCAATTCTTTTCCCTGACGGGTCTAGGTAGCGAACTTTGAAAAAGGGCGAGCATAATAGATCTATGTAGGTCACAGTGCTACAGGTGCTACAAACATCTGACAATAGCCTAAATAACCCAATAAAAAAAAAAGACTATAGACAAATAATATTAATCTATTCTCAACTTAACCACAGACTTTAACAACAAACAAAGGAGTATATGCGTGTGTGTGTCAAATAAATAGTAGTGTGTGAAATATATTTTTTATTGATTTAACGTATTTTTATGCATAATTTAAAACAAATATTTGCATTCTGCACTCCTTCTCTATAAAGTGTGTAATGTGCATATTCCTCCACGCAACAGTCCGCGCATGTGGATAAAGTTGCAGGCATTAGTTGGTATATATATACATATATACTAACTGTAATCGCGAATTCGTCCGCATGAAAATTTACTTTATTTTCTAAAATAAGAGTACCCTAAGTTACTCCTTAGTACATCAGCTACCAAAATAAGTAATAATAAAGGAATGTTATAATAATTTAAATTGCCACCATCAAAATCGGTCCAGCCATTTCAGAGATTAGCCGGAACAAACAGACAGACAAAAATTGTAAAAAATGTTATTTTAATATATATATCAAAATAATATAGATATATTGTACAGGTACAATTTGTGATTTGTAAGTTCGGAGTAATCTCCGTTACTACTACTAGGAACAGTAATGCTATTCACGTGCGAAGCCGGGGCGGACAACTAGTTTTATAAAAACATAATACTTTTTACAGATAACATAAACGCTACATACATTACTGAAGATGAAATCCTACTGTACCTGAGCTACTTAACAGGCCAACAAAACAAGGACTACAGCTGTCTGTACAAACTGTCTTGTGAGAAACCCGACCAAGCGGCCATGTACTCATCTGGTGCTGAGTTGTTACTGCAAGGAGTGAAGATGATACAAGGGTATGTACACTAAAACTCTAAACCTAAAATCGTGACAAACTTTGTACAATACATAGAAAGAAAAAAAAGAAAATAAAGTTTATTTGGTACATAACAGTAATAAAAAAAAATTAAAATACATTATATAGGTTTATATTAATTTACCATACCATACCATAGTACCAAATAGGTTTGCGCTAAGCATATGTCGTGACGGGGTACCACGACGCTGGTATACATTCATAGATATAATAAATATAATAATAATACACATACATACATAGATCTAGGCGGATAACACAGACATACTACCATATATAAATAATATATAATACATTATGTATGTATAATCGTTAATTTCTGTCATCGCCACAAAATCCCTCCAAAATTGGAACACATTCCCATGGGGTAGAGGTAAAGTTTTTCAGATATTAACCGCGTTTAAACAAACTAACATAGTCTTCAGCTATATATAACCTTAAAATAATAAAGGATAACAATAAAATTTACCTTAACATATTTCATGTTACAGTAACAGCATCGAATTAGGACAATATGAAGACATCTCGAAAGGTATCAAAGAGGCGACAGAATGGGGCGAGAGGGGCATGTCATGCAGCACGCGTTATCATTGTGGCGAATAACGACACTGCCAGTCACCCAAAAATTAAAAAAAATTGAAGTTGATCATATCGACGCTTCAATAATATTTCAAATTCATTGTGAAGTTTCAAACAGGAAGCAAAAGTATTATAGAAACTATAATAAATATTACCAAAGGAACTATTAAAATATTTTATACTGGAAGATAAAAACTGTATATGTATTTTTTATACCGTTTTTTGGTTATAGCAACCTATTTATATTGTAGACATAAAAAAGTATTTAAGTAAATGTTTCCGTCCAGAAAAATAAAATTTTAATATTATATAAAGAATTAATAAAATGTATATGTATGTAGATTTTACAGCACATAATATAATACCAGAGGAATATAAGGATTTTTTGATAAATTGTGTCCTTCTATTGGCGCGTTGAATATAGCAAAAACGAAGAAGAGACAAGAGTACAGCTCTAACTTGTCCATAGATATGCGAATTAAGTGATCTTTTTTACTACTCTTTCATCAGTAAATTAACTTATTTAATTTGTAACGGTCAAATATAATTGTAACTAATTATTTCAATAACCATAACTTCCACTAAGCAACTAATTACATTACGATTTTCATAAAAATCATATTTATAAATATAAAATTCGTTTACAAAAATTTAGTCGTGTTTAACAGACTGACTAGGAATCTACTTATTGGTAATGTATAAATGAAGCTATTCAAAGCACCGTGGGAATAAACATTAATGTAAATAAATATACTAACGACAGAAATAATTTATTATTTACCGCGACCCGTCACAGTTTCGCACGAATGCGTTACAAATCTTTGACTTCCTCGGCTTGTTCTATATTGTAACACGCATTTATTATACATATAAACCTTCCTCTTGAATCACTATCTGTTGCTGAAGATTACTTTAAAATCAGATGCGTAATTTAAAAGATGTAAGCGAACAGACAGCGACGACTTTGTTTGACACCATGTAAAGAAGAAACGTTGTATGTAAACCAGTTTTTATACAGAACTACTTCCCGCCACTTCCACTTACATATATATATTCCTAATTATAATTTAAATAATTTATTATGAAAAAATATTTACTCAGCCACTAATATTATTAAAATTTTAAATGCTTCTAAAGTGACCTAAAGCTTATCCATTTGTAGTAAAGTAGATACTGTCGTATGTGGAGAATAAATAAGAAATAATTAACTCCTAGTTATAATAATTATTTATTTATCTAAATATCAGTCATACTTATATTAGTCCATATTTGAATGAGTATTTTAGCCTCCACAATCTTACATTTGAGGATTCTTACTTTTAGAATTGTTACATCAATAAATACATTACAATAAATAATTTCATGAGTTTTAAGACAGAATTTCCATTTAGGCCTTTCCGAAAATTAAGATTAACTTATTCTAGATATTTAAATGTAATTTCTATCTATTGAAAAATGATGGTCGCTGATTGAAATGAATGCAAGTAACGTAATTTTAATTAATTTATAAAAGCTTACAGATGTAATAATTAAAAAAAAAACGAATGTTCGCTCAGATCAGACTCTTCTAATGACAGATTTTTTTCTGTAATAATTAAGAAATTCATTTCATCCTCGCTTTTGCAATGTTAGATATTGACATGGATTTATACACTTAAAATTTGTTATCCAATAAGTATGGACATTTAAATAAATATACAAATTGACACATAGAATAATAAAATACAATAACAATATAGACAATCAAATGGTGGTGGCGAGTATACGAGTATTAGTTTATTATTATTATTATTACTTAAAGATTAAATTAAAGATGTGTAGGTTTTGTAAGGGCCATGTTTTAATAGATAATATTATCTGTAAATTAGTTAAAATCTTTTATAAGTAGTATTATTATTATTTGTATTTTACAAATAATAATAATACTATTCAAAGTAAGTAAAGTTTGACTATTTCTATCTCACATAGGCATACTTATAGTCGAGGTTAGGGTGGGGAATTGGCTGCTAATACCCTGGGAGTTCTCTCTGATGGGTTGTTAGCTCTCGCCGCGCGATATTCAGCGTAGGATACGAAACCATCGCCATCGATGTCATCCGACTCCAATGTACGGTCCACCAGCGCTGTAATTTAAAATATTTAAAGTCAAAATAAATGCTTTTATTGACCGTCTCTCGGCTTAACTTCCGATGGACAGGATTTTGATTCTTCGTAGCGTAAAAACATTTTACTCATGAGTATGATTATTTGTATTGGTCTATATTTCCTATGTATATTATGTAAGCATTTACACAAAAATGCATTACGTAGCATCCATAACATAAGCTCTGCTTAGTTTGGAACGAGATGGTGAATTGTTGTGGTATATTTTTTTTTACTTTTCTCCTATTTGCATATTACCTACCACTTCAATATTTAATTTATTTTCCTTAAGATTGCCTTAAAAAGATTGCTTTCAGCAATAACGCCGCCTTATTGTACCTATACATGTTTCTTTAATATATTGTTCAGGTCTATTCTTTACTGTATGTTACAAATAAAGTATATTCTATTTATCTATATTATTATTATTGCTAGCTCAAATCTTTGCTACTACTAATCCTCAAACTTACCTATATAAGCATCAAGCTCATTGGCTTCTGGTTCTATGGATGAATCCGCATCAGGATTAGGCGCTTCATGTTCTGTAGTGTGGTATACAGCCTGAAATAAACAATCAATGATTAGTTATATTCGTAATTTCAAAGAAAACGTTTTAACCAATCGAAATCCAACACTCGCATTATAAAGACAAAAGCTTTATTTTTTATATATAGTGTAGGAAGCAAACGAGTTTGCGGCAAACCTGATAATATTGATGATAATACTTTAGACAGATTTATTTTACTAGCTAGTAATGTGGACTATATCTTTCTTTTACAATACAAATCATACAGCAGTCAGTAGAGCTATGGATAGTAAATAACTCATATGAATACTTAAACATGTATATATTTCAAAAATATATACATGTTTAAGTAGTTTATAATATAAATACATAGAAGTCACGGACCCATATAAACAATTTTTTGATACTTTTTTGCACCTATTATTACCACACCACGATTTTGAATCCAGATTGAAAGAGATCTCTTCTACTAAATAATAAAAACTAAATTATATTATCTCCGTATTATTTGTACAATTAAGAATATATCTAGTAACAATATTTCATTAATACAAATGTTTGCGTGCAAGCCACCGAACCCATGACATCGTAAGCTAGATCACCGGGGTCGTCAATATTTCAGTCAGGTAATAATTATTTATAAAGATAAGAAACGCCGAGGTGCACTTTGTACAAATTTATTTGCATGGGGATCTCTCTCGGATATTGCAGCCGCCAATCAGTTTTCTTTGTAAGCTGTGTTTCAGTCCAAGAACAAGACTTGGCTGCTCAAATACCAGATACGAATGCATGATACCTTACTCCTTCACAATGATACGCATTAGCGATGCCACGGGGTTCACATTATACTCGTAACATGATGACGGTAGTTCACCGTTGCCATTTACCATCAAATGCGCCGTCAGCTTGTTTAACATTTTAGATGGAAAAAAAAATACCTTAAGAAGTTCCAGGCCATCCAACTTGGAGTTTCTGTCAAAATCGTGAGCTGAAAAATAGTGGAACTCCAATTCTTCTGGAGTCATCCGGGCCAGTGCCTCTGGGGTTAAAACATTAGAATCTTCTTCAATATGTCTGGAAATGATAAAAATATATCCTTTATTATTATAAATCAGATGAGCTAATCTGAGATATTGTGAACTATGTTATGTTGTTTAATTCTACCATTAGCATGTGTGAGACCACAAGTATTCAGTGTGGAAACCTGACCACCGGTACTAGAAGCGTTATAACCTTACCTATCAGTGAACAAATTCCATGTATTTCGTCTCTAAACGAGGCATCATCAAGCAACGAATAGAGTTTGAATATAGCTTGGAAGCCTTCAGTATTCGGCAACCAGATTACTACAGAATGGACTTTCACCAGATAAAACCTAATTCTATAAAATATATACATATACAAACATTGTAAATTGTCGTTTTCTTGAAAGCACTAGAAATATTCTGATGTCGCTAAGTACATTTGGATTCTTCGTAGTAAAATCAAACCTCGCCGTCTGGCGCATCAATTTGGTTTATTATCGGAGTATTTATTACCAAAGAGTTAGTCAGAAATATAAATTGATAGATACGGTTTCTTGGAGGAGGTCTTCTTAGGAGAGGAGGTTTTATGCCTATAGTAGCGTGGTTCAATTCCTCTCACGATACAATAATTTTTATTAATGCATATAATTTGTTGTGGTATTTTTATTATACTATATAAATTATGTACTTGTATTAAGAAAAATATATTAAAGAATTCATATACATTCCAGTTCTTTAATACACATATTTCTAGCTATACTTAGTTTGGGACTAGATGGCTCTGTGTGAATTGTCCAGGCTAATTATTATTATTCAATAACTGACGAATTAATTTCACTATCTGAAAAGCGTATCAATGTAGTTACAATACTCACTTAACATCATGCAGCAATTGTGAGTCAGCTGTGAGCGAGTTAGAGCCTGATGGCTTGTAATGATGGTGAGTGTGGTCAACCGGGCTCTGACCGTGGGGGTGGTGTGGACCCCGCCGGAGGCCCGAGCACAGAGAATGCAGTATCAGTAGCAAACATGCTGAAATTAAGTTATTAATCTTATATTTATATCACATCACCAGTTTTTTTTTTATGATGACAATGTTATGCTTTAGGCCATGTAAGGCCATCGAATCCGTCAAATTATTATGTATGTAGAAGAAGAATTGAAAAAGCGTACAAATCATTCATATATATTTTAATTATAAAAACAATATAATTACAAGAACACAAGAACCAACTAGCAATATAATCAACGTTCACGCGTTATCAATTTGTCATACAAATGACTATCTTTATTGAGCCCTATTGTTGGCAAAGGGATGTATAGGGGACATGAAATAGATATTTACTCGGTCTTTGTCAACTTTGACATTTGATTAGAAAAAAAAATCCAATTTTTTTATTGAAATAAAAATACTCTAAAATTGCATTGCTATATTATTACGTGTATTCACACCTAATGTTTTACTTTTCTAATTTATTATTGTCCTATTGATGATGTCATCAATAGTCTAGCGGTTAAGTACAACCCTTTACTTCCGATGGTCGCAGGTTCGATTTCCCGCAAGATACAAACATGAGTATAATTGTTTGTAACGATATAGGTGTTTTCTGTGTATAATACATACGTATTTCCAAAAAAAATCTGTGTATGTATCAGATGTCTAGTAGTCATAACAGAAGTTCTAGCTAGCTTAAGTTGTGTCTATATGGCGCTGTGTGAATTGTCCTGACATTATTATTATTCTTTATATATATTTTATATGTCTCCCTTTGATGGGGTGATAAACTTATCATTGCGGGTGAAAATCACCAAACAATGACAACTATAAAAGAAATTATTAAGAATTTTTTAAACGGAAAAATTAAACTACTACCTGTGTATTATTATTATTTTTTTTTTTTTTTATTATCGATGTTCGATCAATATCAACTTAAGTTCTCAAAAATTATTCTAGGTTTGATTTCTTGGCCTCGAGTAGAATAATCGAACTTAATTACAATTAATTATTAATATATTGGATATGCTGTACTGCCTAATAAGTATAATCGATATCACGTGGACATTGACTAAATTATATTCATTTATTTGTAATACAAATATCAAATAAAGAAACACTAAGTGAAAGACAAACTGATTGTACCCTACCTGTCTATAATTGAGGCCTATTGTTGGCAAAGGGGTACAAGTATAGGGGACCGGACAGCTGGGGTCCGGGGGACGTCATGGGGCCCCAGCGACCCCCCGAGACGCAATATTCACACCTCATTTCACGAGTGCCGCCCCAAGCATTTGTCATCAAATCGAAAATATGTCATTACAAATGTTTGAAGAAAATTTAGTCAGTCTAAATTGGCTTTCTTTTAAAGTGTATATACAATACATTTTATTGTATTGTTTAATTGTTAATGAATACGTTTGGTGACAGTATATTTAAAATTATTACTTATCTACCCAATTTTGATTTCAGTATCTACTAGGTCTAAAATATAAGTGTTTCTTAAGGGTCGGCAAAACGCATGTTACACCCCTGGTGTTTCAGGCGTCCATAGGCTACGGTAACCATTAACCGTATTAACCAGATGGGCCGTATGCCTGTTAGCCACCATAGCAGTATAAAAAAAAAATTAAAAAAACAACAAAATTTGGGATATGAATGGAAATAGTTATTACTCGATGGATTTATATTATTTTGTTTAATTCCGCTACAATTAACATATGTGAGACTACAAATATTCGGTGTGGAAACCTGACAAGTGCTACGACCTTCTCTAGTAGCAAATTCCGACGGTTATGGAGTCTACACCCATATCGCAACTCGTGTTAGTTATTTCATATTAACAGTACTTACAGTATTACTCGCGACTTCGCCTGCTTTTATGAGATTCAAAATAGCCTATATCCTTCCTCTTGATACAAACTATATTCTGAGTTCTATTGGTTAGTTAATTGAAGACATAAATTTGACTAGGATTGTTAGTAAAATTGTAAAAATAAAACGCAATATGAATTATACAAATATTCCTTTTTTGGGAGTATTTTTATCATCATCCCTATATAATTGTTTTGGTAGATAAATATTAGAGCATATTTAACGCAAATTTGTTTATAAAAATTATCCATACAGTCTATTTCATTACTTGATTTCTTTTCCAATCTATCCATATATTAATGCTGATTATTCAATTTTTTTAATAGTCATATATTTTTATTCTACCACTCATTCGGCTCCAAGACTCATCACTAGAAGAATGAGCAAGAAACTTGCGTGTTGCTCTTTTAAATCAATGTTGTTCAGCATTATATTATAAGATTTCGTTTGAATTAAAACTGTCAAATAGCATAATTGACATAAGTACATAAATAGCTACTTGAGTAAGAAAATAAATCAGTCATACATTATGGCAAATGTCTCTGAAGCGGATATTCCACCGCTTCAGAGACTCTGGACACCATTGCACTGCTGCGGACCCAGTGCTTTATGGACGCGGACATATATATATGAATTAGAATAATAAGGATATAGGTACATTGTAATATACTAACATAGTTTATAAGTAGCTTACCTACTAATATAATATGTATAGATATCCGAATTAAAAGAATAAATAAATAGTTAACGGAACAGATTTCATGACTAAATAACAAGTCTTAAGGAAATTTGACCAAAAATGGATTAATCAATCTATCACTATATTTTGCTAATTATATGTAGGTATACAGGGGAGGCAAGTAAACTTAACAGTTTCCTCTATAAAGATTGTACAACGACAGATAAGAGATAAACTGTTGTAGTAATAAGAAAAAAGACTTGGTAAAAACGGAAAAAAATATATTAATAATAGAGAACTAACTTATTGACAACAGAAAGAATGAATTGAAGTATCAAAAACAAGAATGTAATATAAAAGAACTATAAATTCAAATACAAATTTAGAATATAAAACATTTCTTCATTAGCCAGTTACAACATAAACTATATCTCAAAATAAGCGATCAATGTTGTAAGTTACAGCTATTATTTAAAAACAAAACAGGTGTCACCCTTTTAAAAATCTATTACGGCATTATGTTGAATGCATCGAATGCATACTTCTCCCCTAACAGTTGGTCTGACGAAAGACGACACTGGTCTTTAATCGGGTGGCGCTTTATTACAGAGCACACTGTATAAAATAAAAGCATAATGGAGTCCAAATTATTCGCCAGTGCAGACAAGTGCGCGGTACATATGTCGAGGTGTCCGGCGCAAGTGGGAGGACACACGGCCGTTAAGAATGGCGATCATACGGCCATCCAGAATAGCGACAATCAAAGAGTAGAAAATTAGTATAAAAAATATCCACAAATATGACATTATTTATATTGTTAACCGGAGCTTAACACGAATAATTTTATGGTAAATAAAAATATTTACCTCTCTCGATGTTTCGACTAGGTTGCACTAAAAATAAAAATTATCATTTATTTCTAGTACAACTTAGTTGAAACGTTTACTTCAGATATTCGCGGGCTCGATTCCACGCACGGTACAAACATTTGTATTCATACATATATTTATTTGTGTCGGTCTGGGTGTTTTTTTTTTGTATATTATATATGTTTTTACAAAAAATATATCTGTGTATTTATATCAGTTATCTAGTACCCATAATATAAGCTCTGTTTACCTTGGGACTAGATGGAGTTTCGTGAACCGTCTAGGTGTATTATTATTATGAACGTCAAGTGATATAATAAAATAGTCTTATATTTATTGTATTTAAGACAAAAAAAAACTTTTTTTACTTTACGTCCTTCTTAACTGTGTGTCACAATATTGGAAACGCACTATATAGGAACCCCAAAGCAGTGCAGTCAGGGGCTCGCGGGTTCGAAACCCCAACCCGACGTATTATCGTCCGATAACACCCTAATCCCATGCGATTACAATAAAGCCCAACACGGATCACAAATTCCTCTATTCCTTCTGATCTTTGGTTACATTAGAGTTTTATAATTGCGATAAATATCATACTCTAATTCTTAAAAAAATTGTGTAAACAAATTATCTTCAATTCTTCATTGAACGTGTTTAGTTAATATTAGCGAGCAACCTATTTTTTTATTGTTATACGCAAGTATTAAAAGTGTAGTCTACTCTGTGCTTCGCCCATCATTTTCTCTGTCGCATAATACTCTGTGATCTAATCTACGCGGTTGTATATCGTTCATTAATATTAATTGTTATTGTAAAATAGCTATAGTTATAATATGGTTGTGTAAATTACAGAGGGTATAGCATTGTTTCAAATAATTTGAAAAAATATGTTTTCTTAAATATGAGAGGCTGGGCTGTATGGGCTTCGAGTCCTTTGCTTGTAGAATAAATATAACTTTTTACTTGTCAGTAAGAGGTTTAATTTTTATATGACAATGTTCGAGCCGTATTGACCCAAAACCTAACTATTTACCTAAACACAAACACTATAAAAATAGAATATAAATATTACATTGTAACCAATTATTTCAATCTTCAATAAGCAACTAATGATCAATGTATACACCTATATCTACAAAGTTTTACATGAACAAAAATATTTATATGTTAATTAAATTATAGTTAATTTACCTTCAAATTTCATTTCTACCGCATCACTCAATCTTTAATTTTATTTATATATAGAAAATACAAGAAACAAGAAGCAGTTCTCATCTGTCAGTTGACAAAATCAATGTATGAGCGCAGGCGCGAGCTATTTAAAACGTATTTCTAAAGATATAAGGTCGATTATTGCTTAATTTAAGTTGAGTCTTTGGCGCATGTCTTTTAGACGTTGGTGATATTTGATGCAATTTTCCTATAGATGTCGTTAGAAGTCAAAATCTTCAAATAAGTTCAACTAATGGTAGATTCATACGTTTGTCTGTGTGTTTGTTACCTCATTACGTGTAAACGGCTGAGCAAAATTTAATGAATTAGCATGTATATTAAAAAAAAATGTTAAGTAGCGTCAGCACGAATAATATAATATACAGAAAAAATGAACAATCGATATAAAATTGTTGGTTTGTTGTGTTTAAGAACATCCTTCTATACGCAGTCGGTTGAAAAGTAATTTTAAATCATTATCCAGGAATACCACAATGATATCTAACCTTATTAAAATGCAAAAGAACTGTAAAGATTTAAAATAAATTGCACGTCAAATCGACTTTAAAAAAGTATAAGTCCTCATTTTAACTGCATTTATTTGTTTTATGTACCTAACTCATTTTTATAAATTGTTTTTTAACAATATCTTAACTAATATAATAATACGTAAGTTTGTTTGTTAGTCTTTGATATTTCAAGTAATCATCAATATGTTATCCATATATGATATATGTACATATATATATAGGTAGCTTAGTCTGATTACATTTGTTTTATTGTCTTTTCAAAAAGTGAGCATGTTTGATCGCAATTTCACCTGATGTTGAGTGATGATGAGGTCTAAGCTGTTGCAATAATATATTTATTATAATATTTTCTTTTCTGGTAAATAATAACTTGTTCTTATCCATAATGTAATTAGAAAAAAGGATATGTAAATTTTGTGAAATAAATTTATTAATTATATTCGTGTATGCTGCAATTATATTGTCACGGAGTTATACATTTAATTAATACATAATATAAAACAATATACAGAAGAGTGTACAATAGAAGCAAACAACATATCCAAAATTAATTTCTGTACTAATTACTAATTATAACTGGACCTATGCGGCCCATAACCTGATGGAGATATTCAATGGATATATAGCTTTTTATTCTAACATCAATGTACCTAATAGACTCGATCCAGTGACCACCTAAATATATCCGCTAAACTACCGAGATGATAATCTAGTACAATTTACGTTGGACATTAATATCTAAATAACCGTTTGAGATAGTTTATGAAATTTGGAACACATATTTATCTCGCAAGTCTCAATAAATGAACCAAATTTGACAGGTTTATGTGAAAGAGTTTTTGAGTTATGAGGGGGTCAAAAGTGGCTCCAAATAGTTCGTGTAAATATACACACGGTGCTGCAGTTACTAAACTACAGATACCGCGTGTCTAGATATGCAGATCCCGCAATGGGACTTATTCTGTAGGACAATTCCTACGTGACAAATACTACTTAATCTGAGGACACCACTAGAGTCCCCGAACTTTGGAACTTAGACCGTCATAAAATCAATTAAGGATGTGGAAAAAAGCCTACTATTTTTTCTATAAATAATAATTCACTCTAGGAAATCATTAATTAAAAAAAAAATTAATAAATGATATTTTTCGTTTTACGCTGAATATTTTTCATTCAAGCCAAAATAAAACAAGACTAAGTGGTTACTTAAAATAAATAATAACACACATACTGCAAAGGCTTCCAAAAATTACGGTTACGGAAACAATATATTATTGTTTAAGTAGAAATGATTTTTTTGTAATCTAAAATAATCTATTAATTAACAATTTAACACAGAATCTTATCCCTAATTTCGATCTCCGTTAGGTCTCCATTGGTTTGGAATGAACATTGACTTTAAAATCTGAGAATTTGTCACGATGTTAACAACCCTCTACATTTCTTAGCCATAACATAATAGATACATATATATATATAGGAAATATGTGATTTGCTCATCAACAACTGTATCGCTCCATCTATCAATAATAACCCCTGAAATATCTCAATACGATTCATTTTCACTCAACTCAACTTTTAAATAGATCTTTATTCCTTTAAACATAGGAACAGAATTTGCTGGCACAACAAACGGTCTTCATGACGCCATCATCTCAAAGACCTTTCCCTTGCCACTTCGCAAACGCAACCTAATCTGAATTGGAATAGAGTTCAAAATTAATTGTTTTTTATATACATAGAAGGCTTTTCAGCACGAAAATGTTTATGTTTATAGCGATCTGTTGTGGGGAAGTTAAAAAGAGACGGTAATATGTAAGTGTGTGAGGGATTGTATGATCGATACGCGCGCGGCGCCGCGTGTGTCGACGACTCTGACTCTCCCTAATAGCCGTTTTCTTACATTTGCATGTTAATTTACTTCTCCACTCGCCTATGTAGTTCCTTTTGTTTCGCATGTGATGCAAATTTCTGGAATTAGCGTCTTATTGTATTGCGTACACGACTTTATATAGAGGTTTTAGAATGTAGGGCAGGCACTGGGGTTTCGTTTATTCTTTAATATTGTAGGAGAAACTACACAGTTTACTATATAGTATCTGTGTGTAGGATAGACAGCTTTCGTACTTAGAAAGCTCAACATATTCTCTTTCTATTCTAGTAGTCATTTTTCGACTTAAGGACTATAATCCTAAATGGAGTAGTTAGAGGAATTAAGTCATCATCATCACCAAGATAGAGGAATTAAGTATATAACTAAAATTAAATCTATATTACCACTAATATTACAAACAGTATGCACAGTTTCATTCAAAGACAATTTGTTAAATGATGCAATCAAGAGCAACCAACCTATTTTGAAATTTCTCCGAATATCAAAATTTCACCTTTTGAATAGATATTCTAAATTCAAATCTTTTTTCAATACCTAGTAATATAGCTATATTGACTTTTCGGTATAAAACCTAAATACCTTTATAAAATATTAAAATCAAATCTTAATTATCAATTTTTTGTTCCTTATTTGAAATATCATATTCTTTATAAAAGCTATAAATAACTACTTACTTACCTAGGAGCTATTATGATTATTATTTTATTTTAATGACATCTGTATCTATATATAGGTACTTATATAAACCATAATACCTACTGGTGTTTTCTGGAAAAGGTACAGAGTAATAGGAATGTTTGAAGATATATGAGAATTAAATCAGCTCCCCGAAAAACTGAATTACTGTGTAGAAAAGGATCACGCCTATGAATCAATGGAACTTTAATGAAGCGACATTATATAAATTTCTTTATTTAATTAAATACAAGAGGCAGCTTTTTCGAAGTAGGCTGATGTCAAAGAAATAAACTTAAAAATTTGGTTTTTTAATTTTGGATATTTGGTTTTATATTACATATTTTCACGACCATTAACCTACATGGGGTAATCAGAGATACTCTATGTCTATCATGGTATGGACATGTAATGCGTAGGAATGAGGATAATATTTTAAGGAACGTATTACATATGAATGTGGATGGTTGTGGGCAGAGGAAGGCCGAAAAAGAGGTGGATGGACTGTGTGAAAGATGATATGATAAGAAAGGAAGTAAATAACGCGATGACTGCGAACAGAGATGAATAGAAGAGAAAAACATATTATGCAGACCACAAATAAATGGGTTAAGGAAGAAGCAGATGATGATGGGCAATCAGAGATACTGATAATATATGACATTCGGTATGTTTGAATATCAGGTGGTAGCGGGCGGTAAATCTACCACCGTATCTAAGATTAACTTGTAATTTATCGGTGTTTCTTTCCGAAGAGTCAAAAGAGTTAACATATGAACTCACGACCGTTGTGTCAGACGAGGTAGGAAACTACTAAGCCATGCCGCAAGTATATTACTTTTTATATACATGTATGTTATGAATGTTTTTTAGAGGTAAATGCTTAAATGTTAATTAAACTGGTGCATCCGCATAGGCTATAGTATATGCTGGCATATAACAATATACGAATCAACGGAGGATAATAGGTGAACATATGATCAAGTTAAATAATCCATTGTGGCAAAATCAGGAATTAAACATGGTAGCATTGATTAGCAATTAGGCTGAAGAAGTAATTTATTATTCTTCCTATGGTCTTTCCATATGGTGGTATGGGATGGGTAGACGAAACTGAGGTTCAGGTTCTACATCTATTCATATTTTGGTTGAAAATAGAGACACATATTGCTCATTTCTAGCACTCCGTTACAAATAAAATTAGTAGAATTATAAAAATAAGGCGTGAAACTAAAAACTGTTACTGGTATTTAAAATTATTTATAGTTAATAAGAAATTATTTTTTTCATTCTATATTTTTTAGGTATGAATTTTATAATTATTGTAGCAACCGTCTAAAAAATATGTATACCTATATTTACCAGACTCACCCAAAAATCATTAATAAAACCTGCATGTTATGTTTGCTTTCTTAATGAACGAAAATGGAAGAAGATTGATATAATAAATATCACAAAAGAAAGCTTTCTTACACATTTTTCGCATAGTCGACTTTTTTATTAGGTATATTTGTATTTACCCTCTTGGTGTTTGAATAAATTACTATATTCAGTACGTAGCACATTCATAAAAAATAAAGTGAGTATGAACAACCAGAAACAATGAATTTTCCATTGCGATGCGGAGATTTGTGGCGGGGCGGGCGTTGCTAGGCAACCGCCCCCAGAATCCTCCCCGCCGGATCACTTTTAAACTTTCATCTCGGGAAGTTTTTAAGGTTGCTTGTGGCTGTCAGATTCGCCATGTTTTTGTTTTAAGCCCCTTTGCGTCGGTAATGTGAAGGTTGCTTTGCTTTGACGTTCTCGAGAAACTAACGGTACATTAAACAAATGGTGGTAAACATCTATTGTATTCTGCAGGTTACGAGCCTTACGTGAAGGCATAGATATATTCTTTATTTAAATAATGTAAACACTTCAAAAAAATTTTTTTTATTATACCACATGAATAAAGATGCAGATTTAGCACAT